GAGAGAGAGAGAGAATTCCTTCTGGTTCATTCACCAAATGGCTACAAAGGCTAGGCTGGATCAGACCAAAACCAGGATCCAGAATCTGTGTCTCCCACTTATTTAGTCCATCTTGTGCAGCCTTCTCAGTCCATTACTAGTGATGTGAATTGGAAATAGAGCAGCTGGGACTCAAACTAGTACCCTTTATAGGGTGCTGGCCTTGCAGGTGGCAGCTTTACCCTCGATGCCAAAACAATAGCCCCTGTACCTGGCTATTTTTAATGTCTAATGAGTCTAGTCTATGAAATGATAATTTATCAGTGCTAGCCATAATATTAATTTCATATTTAGATTTGCCTTCTGAAAGCAGACACTTTCTTTTTTATTTTTTTACTTTTCAGATATGATTAAACTTGTGTTGCCGTTGGGGATTCCCAAGTATTTTCTTCCTTTTTTTTTTTTTTTTTAATTTCTTCACTGAAACTAAACTAAAATCTTGAAAGTCTAGAGGCAATGCCTGTGAGCGAAGTGTCTCCTCCCACTGCTTCCTGTTGTATTTCTGTGGGTATTCTGATTTGCAATCGGGACTGAATCTCCATATTCTGTATTTTCTTTCTATTGTGGAGAGGGCTAGTTACTGCTGTTTGAGAAATGAATTTTAAGAACTATTTTAATTGCACATATTGATGGAGTATATTTTGTTAGGTAGTCATCAAATTAGGTTAGTTCCAATTTTCATCTTGTGAACTCTTTTTTTAACTTTTTTTGTTGTTGTTAACACTTGACAATTGCACGTGTTTAGGGGGACTCCTGTGATGGTTCAACACGTGTTCACAATACATGCCAATCACTGTTCCAGTTACTCCATGTTTGGAGCTTGCAAGCTCCTTCCTCTACCTGTTCCTAACATTTATGTTCTTGAGAACTATAGTTGCCACATACAATGTTTTCAGTGGCTGATACAGTCCCATTTGACTGACCTGTAGCTTATGTCAAGTCTTAACCACGCTGTAAATGAAGGGTTGTCCTGGAAACTTGACATCTGCCTTAGGGGAATTATTTCCGAATTTATATAATTGTGCCAGTCTCAGTATTTTTAATGGCTGCAAAATCTCCTGCAGCCATTATTGCATGTATAAAGGTATTATATTTTCATGACCTTTAAAATAATAGGTTTACCTTCTCCAATAACTTTGTTTTGACAATTATCTTACTTTATTGTTCTGACTTAGATTGAAAACAGCTGGTTTTTTTTTTCCAACTTTTGAGGAAATATCCACTCTCCCGCTTTCCCTTTGCATGCCATATTACTTAATTTTAATTATATCTGAACGTTTTTCCTATAGTTTCATCAATTCTGTAATTTTAAAGGTGTATTTATTTTATTTGAAAATCACAGTTAGAGAGAGGAAGAGCAAGAGAGTAAGAACGAAAAAAAGAAAGAGAAAGAGAAAAAGATCTTCTGCCGCTAGTTCGCTCTCCGGGCAGCGACTAGGGCTAGGCCCGACTGAAGGCAGGAGCCAGGACCTTCCTCCAAGTCTCCTACTTAGGTGGGAGGGATCAAGCACTTGGACCATTTCTGCTGCTATTTGACCTTCAATATATGTTATACCTACTATAACTTAATTCCCAGAAGAGCTTCTGAAAATACTATCAATTTAAAAAATGTTAATAAAGTGATTTCTATGCACAAGACGCTAATTTGTGTGCTTAGCATGTTGATGTTTTGATTCTTGAAGGACTCATTCAATTCAAAGATGAACAGTGGAGATATGGAAAAGTTAGGTTATTTGTTTAACATCAGGCAGCTGATAATTGCCTGATGATAATTCAGCTAATTGATGCTGTACTTCCCCTAATTAAGACATGTAGATTCTACCTCTGGGACAAATTAAAAAGTAGCTTTACATCATATTTTGTAACGAAACATCAAAAGTGACATGATTTATATGCTAAAGGAATAGAATTCAAAGGAATGTTCTTGTGGCAGACCTCAGGAAAAGTGGGGAAATGTGTGCTGTTGCCCCTCTTCTGTGTACTCTGATAAGGGAACTGTTACCTAAGAACAACCTAATAGCATTCTATTTATTTAGCTTATTACCTCAAGGAACTTTTTAGATTTATTGGATACTTGTTTCTTTTCCTATTTGAATGCACTAATGCTCACTCTGTCATTTCCCTCCTCGATTCCGTGATCTTCTCTATTTGAATGCCTACTTATTTTCTCTCTTCACTAGCGTTTAAAGTCTTTGTATGAATTTGACTGAATGCATCCACATACTATCCTATAATGAATGTTAAACTACAGTTTGATAAGAATGCGGATTCCTACTTATTACTTAGGCCTGGGCCAAGGGCTAGAAATCCGTATTCTTAATAAGATCCACAAATCACACATAGATCAAGTCCATTATAACTTTGGGAAATGCATTCTTATCTTCATTACTTTTGAAAGATTTATTTATTTATCTGAAAGGCAGATTGAAAAAGAGAATCTTCCATTTGCTGGTTCACTCCCCAAATGCCTGCAATGGCCTGGCCTGTGCCAGGTTGAAGCCAGAATACTAGAACTCCACTTGGGTCTTCCATGTGGACCCAGGGACCAATGGACTTGAGCCATCTTCGGCTGCTTTTCCATGCACATTAACAGAGAGCTGGATTGGAAATAAAATACCTAGGATCCATATGCACCCATGTGGGATTCTATCCTTACAGGGCTGCAGTTTCAGATGTTGTGCCACAATGTTGGGTCCTTATTGTCATTATTTCTATAAAGCTCATCATTATAAGAACTTAATTTGCACTTCGTTCAGAATTTTCATGTGCTTGGGATTTTTTTTCATTCACATTTTTGGTGTTGATATCTAGCCTTATTCTGTGGAAAGTAAGGATAGTCTGTGATACTTTCTCAAATTTTTGCAGTGTTTTTGAAAAAAATTAAAAATACAGAATGCAAAATAGTATGAGGATACTTAAGAAGTTCATGGAAAATGAACAAAAACATATTTGCTTGGTTACTAATTTTTAGAATTGATGTATTATTGCTCCATACTATTTTAAAAATTTATTTATTTATTTTTAAACTGAAAAGCAGATATATAGAGTGAAAGAGAGAAAGATCTTCCATCTGCTGGTCGACTCCCCATATGGCCACAGCAGCCAGAGCTGAACTGATTTGAAGCCAGGACCTGGAACCGGGAGCTTTTTCTGGGTCTCCCACACGGGTGCAGGGTCCCAAGGCTTTGGGCCGTCCTCCACTGCTTTCCCAGGCCACAAGCAGGGAGCTGGATGGGAAGTGGAGTAGCCGGGACACAAACCAACTCCCATGTGGGATCACAATACTTGCAAGGTGAGGATTAGCCAATTGAGCCATTGTGCAGGACCCCATACTACATTTTTCCATGAGCATCTTAAAGACTTCTCAAATAGTCATATTTCCAACATCATCAAATATTGTTGATCTTTTTCAATGGTTGCTAGTATTTTAAAATGCTTTTACAGATTTAATTCGTTTGCTTTAATCACTCTTTAGTATCCTAATCCATTTCTTCTTCCACATGGGTGCAAATTTGATATGAGTCATAGCATATTTTTTTAAAAGATTTCTTTATTTTTATTGGAAAGTCAGATATACAGAGAGGAGGAGAGACAGAGAGGAAGATCTTCCATTCGATGATTCACTCCCCAAGTGACTGCAACGGCTGGTGCTGCACTGATCTGAAGCCAGGAGCCAGGAACTTGTTTCCAGGTCTCCTATGTGGGTGCAGAGTCCCAAGGCTTTGGGCCATCCTCAACTGCTTTCCCAGGCTACAAGCAGGGAGCTGGATGGGAAGTGGAGCTGCCAGGAACATATGGGATCCTGGTGCATGCAAGGTGAGAACTTTATCATTAGTCCACCATGCTGGGCTCTCCTAGTGTGTTTGTAATAGAATATTCCCCATATAAATATATCTGTGTATCTATAAACACCATAGGGTGTAACTTGGCATGTGTTATTTAGATTTTTAGTTTTATACACATGAATATGTCTAAAACAAATTCATTATTTTGCTCTATTTCATATTGATCTTTTGCTCTATTTCATATTGATCATATAGTATAAGTTTCATTTTTTCATATTTTTAGTTATATTTGTGATCCAGTGGCTTTGACTTGCGTAAATATGTTATTTAAAAATGTTTCAATAGTGTTTAAAATGATGTAGTTCATATATGTATACAGTACATAAATATTTTTGCATCCTTATGATTTTTTTTAGCCGTAGCTACATAGGGCATTTCTGAGTTCAACGTAGAAGCCTTTTAAATGTTAGTATATATTTTCAAATTGTTCTATGGCAATTCACACTCAACTAGCATGAGAGTGCATTTTTTCAGTTTCCTGTCAATGAGATTTACCATGGTTTTTCTTCTTTGCAATACAATAAAGCAAAAATAGAATTTCATTGTTTTAATCCGAATTTCTTTCGTTAGTAGTGATTTAATCGTCCAGTTAGATGCCTGATGGCCATTTGTTCCTTTGTAAAATGTGTGTTCCTGCCTGGTCCTCTCCCCTTCCCCCATTCGGGGTGTTCCTCTTTCCTTTTTGCTTTGTCAGAGTTCCTTATTATTCATTTTTCCTCTTTTATATGGGATCGGTCTGATTCAGGCTTTCATTGTTTCACCGCGTTGCGGATTGCTAATACACACTTCTACATTGGTCTTGTTCATGTCGTTTACAGAAACTGGTTCCTGTCCCTCCTCCTTCTTCCCTCCTTCCGAGCCTGGCCTGCTTGCTTCTCTTCCTTTCTAGTCCCTTGTCCTCTCATCTTTTTTTTCTTTGTTTCTCTCTTTTCCTGTGCTTCTCTTCCTCTCTTCCTCTCTCTCTCCCTCTCTCCCTTCTTTTCAGTGCACAAGTTTTTAATTTTGACCGAGTCAGATCTATCAATCAGGGCCTGGCGCCGCGTCAGCAGAGGGGGGCGGGGAGGAGAGCGCGGAGCTGGGGGAGGGGAAGGGGCGGGGAGGAGCGGGCGGAGCGGCTGCGGGAGTTGCTGGGAGTGCGCGCGGTCGGATCACAAGGCGGCGGCGGCGGCGGCGGCCCGGAGACCCGAGCGCGGAGACCTCAGCCCGAGGCCTACGCCGAGAGCCTGCTCTGCACCGGAGGACCGGGGCATCGCGCTGTGCATCACCGAGGTACTGTGCTCCGCGCTCCCCGCTCGGCCCGGCCCAGCGCGCTGCGGCTGCGCCTCCTTCCTTCCTCCTTCCCTCGCTCTCGCCCGCCCGCGCCTTCCCTGCCCGCCTGCGTCACCGCGGCCGCCATGGCTGAGAACGGCGAGAGCAGCGGCCCCCCGCGCCCCTCCCGCGGCCCTGCCGCGGCCCCGGGCTCGGCCGCTACGCCCACCGAGCCCAAAATCATTAAAGTCACTGTGAAGACCCCCAAGGAGAAAGAGGAGTTCGCAGTGCCCGAGAATAGCTCCGTCCAGCAGTTTAAAGAAGCGATCTCGAAACGCTTCAAATCTCAAACCGATCAGTTAGTGCTGATTTTTGCTGGCAAAATCTTAAAAGATCAAGATACCTTGATGCAGCATGGCATCCATGATGGACTGACTGTTCACCTGGTTATCAAAAGCCAGAACCGACCTCAGGGCCAGTCCACCACTCAGCCTAGCAGTGCCGCGGGAACTACTACTACCTCCGCGTCGACTCCCAGGAGTAACTCCACACCTATTTCCACAAATAGCAACCCCTTCGGCTTGGGGAGCCTGGGAGGACTTGCAGGCCTTAGCAGCCTAGGCCTGAGCTCGACCAGCTTCTCCGAGCTCCAGAGCCAGATGCAGCAGCAGCTCATGGCCAGCCCTGAGATGATGATCCAAATCATGGAAAATCCCTTTGTTCAGAGCATGCTTTCGAATCCCGACCTGATGAGGCAGCTCATTATGGCCAATCCACAGATGCAACAATTGATTCAGAGAAACCCAGAAATCAGCCACCTGCTCAACAACCCAGATATAATGAGGCAGACCCTGGAAATCGCCAGGAATCCAGCCATGATGCAAGAGATGATGAGAAATCAAGACCTGGCTCTCAGCAATCTCGAAAGCATCCCAGGTGGCTACAACGCGCTAAGGCGTATGTACACTGACATTCAGGAGCCGATGCTGAATGCTGCACAGGAGCAGTTTGGGGGTAATCCGTTTGCCTCGGTGGGGAGCAGTTCCCCCTCGGGGGAAGGTACTCAGCCTTCCCGCACAGAAAACCGAGATCCACTACCTAATCCGTGGGCGCCCCCACCGGCCACCCAGAGTTCTGCGACCACCAGCACGACCACAAGCACTGCCAGTGGCTCTGGCAGTGGCTCCAGCAATGCTGCTGGGAACACCGTGGCGGCAGCTAATTATGTTGCCAGCATCTTCAGTACTCCAGGAATGCAGAGTCTGCTGCAGCAGATCACTGAAAACCCCCAGCTGATTCAGAATATGCTGTCCGCACCCTACATGAGAAGCATGATGCAGTCACTGAGCCAGAATCCAGATCTGGCTGCACAGATGATGCTGAACAGCCCGCTGTTCACTGCAAATCCTCAGCTGCAGGAGCAGATGCGTCCACAGCTCCCGGCTTTCCTGCAGCAGATGCAGAATCCAGACACACTCTCGGCCATGTCAAACCCGAGAGCTATGCAGGCTTTAATGCAGATCCAGCAGGGGCTGCAAACATTAGCCACTGAAGCGCCTGGCCTCATTCCGAGCTTCACTCCTGGCGTGGGGGTGGGAGTGCTGGGAACCGCCATCGGCCCGGTGGGCCCGGTCACTCCCATAGGCCCCATAGGGCCCATAGTCCCGTTCACCCCGATAGGCCCCATTGGGCCTATAGGACCCACTGGCCCTGCAGGCACCCCTGGCTCCACTGGCTCTGGTGCCCCCACCGGAGGCAGCGTGCCCAGCACTGCACCCAGCGAAACTACAAGTCCGACGTCAGAACCTGGACCGAACCAGCAGTTCATTCAGCAAATGGTGCAGGCTCTGGCTGGGGCAAATCCTCCGCAGCTGCCGAACGCAGAAGTCCGATTCCAGCAGCAACTGGAACAGCTCAACGCAATGGGCTTCTTAAACCGCGAAGCAAACTTGCAGGCTCTGATAGCAACAGGAGGCGACATCAATGCGGCCATTGAGAGGCTGCTGGGCTCCCAGCCGTCCTAATTACGTTTCTGTACCTTGAAAAAAAATGTATCTTATTTTTGATAATGGCTCTTAAATCTTTAATCACACACAGAATCGTGCTATACTTTGATTTTGATTCTTTTAAATCTGTTGAGTTATAAATCTTAATACGATGCATTTTAAGGTGGAGTCCTTCCCTCCCTCCCCTGTTCCTTCTCTCCCTTAACCCCTTCCCCCCTTCCCTTCCCTTTCCCTATCTCTTCCTCTCCCCTCCTCCCTTCCTCCCCCCTCCTTTGTTTCCTTTGATTTCCTTCTCCGTTTCGAATGGTGGGGATCAATGCTGTCTCACTCAAAGCTGTTGCATGTGAACTTTTCTCTTTATTCTGCATTTATTGTGACTTTTGGAACAGGTATCAGCCTTCACAGTTGGGTGAACAAGTTTTGTCCTACGATGTCTGATTTATTTGCATTTTAACATTAGCCTATGATAGTAATTTAATGTAGAATGAACGATATTAAAAACAGAAGCAAATTATTTGAAGCTCTCTAATTTGTGGTACAATATTGCTTCTTGTGACTTTGGCATGTATTTTTGCTAGCAAAATGCTGTAAGATTTGTACCATTCGTCGACCTTTTTTGCTATGTTTGTACACAGTACAGTAAGCACAATTGGAACTGTACATCTAGAAATATCGCAGTAGAATCTCTGAGCAGAATATGTGTAACCAAAAGGAGAAAGGATACCAGAAATATTCTGGAGCTAGTTATGTCTCACAGTTTTGTAGAATCTTACAGCATATTTGATCAATTTCTCAGTGAAAATGTTGGCTAGGCAAGTTCAGTTAAACTCTAGTAGAAATGTTTATCCTGGTATATCTAAGTATACATTTAATTGTACAGAAAACTTACAGTGTAACATTGTGTCAACATTTGCAGATTGACTGTATATGACCTTAATCTTTGTGCAGCCTGGAGGGTCAGTGTAGTAATGCCAGGAAAGTGATTTTACCTAAGACTTCCTTCTCAGATTCCTCCATAAAGAGACCCTAATATGCATTTTGATTTGTAATTGGAAATGTAACTTTCACTGAAAGTGTCATGTGATGTTTGCATTACTTTAACTGCTATGTATAAAGGAAAGTGTATTCTTTGACTTTATCAGTTATTTCTCTTGTGCACAGGGAAAAATGCATTAAAAATGACTAAAAAAAATAAAAAAAATTAAAAATGGATAAATCTTTTCCTTTTTACTGCTGGCCACTGGCTCATGTTTCTGGACTTTTCCCACCCCAAGATTAGATAAAAAAATGTTTCTCTATGTTTCTCTAATATTTCTGGTTTTTATTTTTTTGCATTTTTTCCCTATCTGGAATTTGATCTGTGGATTTAGGTGTTCTGTTTATCCCCAAGGGAAGTATGTCCTGTTCTGTGCTTGGATATTTTTTACTTCCACTGAACATTCTAGTCCCAGTAAAGCAGCCTGTAATTATTGAGTTAGAAATAAGAATTCGTGTCTGTTCAGGTGAGTTTTGTGTTGATCTGCTCATTTATTTACTTTTTTATAGTTTTTGTGATGATTTTGATATGTTATTTTACCAGATGAACTTTATAGAAAAGAATTGCCATACAAAATAAATCGGGAATGTTTAAATACATGTAATGGTGAGAATTGCAGGATTTCATTGCTTTCCTCAGATATACATTGCCTGTTTTATAAACCTACTTATATACTTCAAGATTTTACTTATTCAAATTCTATTTAATTTTTGATAAGTGTGTTCCTAGGATGTCAGACGCACAGGGAACACACAGGTGCCACTAATGGGACCTCTTTGTGTAACCTGTGTGGTTATTTTTGTTACAGAGAATAATAATTATTTTAACTTGGCAATTTATTCAAATCCATTAATTTCAGAAACAGTTGACCCTTTTGTGTTTTTCTTGGTACTTTGTAAAGTTTATAATGCTTTCTAACTGCATGGATTGCACACTCCACAACAATGTGAAATAGTAATGGTCGTAGTGACATTCTTGTCTTGTTTCTCATTTTAGCCAGAATGTTTGTTGTAGCAATCCCAAATTGAGTTTTCCTGACAAAAAGAAATCTTTGCAAATATATACCATAATCCCCATTTGAGACACAGTGAATGTTGGCTGGTTTTGTTTCTCTAAAAATGAGTATATATTTTTTAAGTTAAAAACATTATTTGACTTTGTTTCATTCATCACTTCTCAAGCTCAAGTGGGTTTAGCTCACTTAAGTGTAGCTATGCACCTTAGGTAATGATGGCTTGTTATCTCACTGCCATAATAAATTGAAGGTGATGTGAATTTTTTTAATACAGGAATAAATACTAAAAGTGGAGGCATAGAAAATTCCAGTAAATCAATATCTTTTAAAACATTTGAAGAACAGAGAATTGCTTTATCATTTTTTGCAATATATTTTATCTCCTTCAAAAGATCCAGGGCTTTAATGCATGAAGTGTACTGCTTTTAGTAGTTCATTAATTTTTGCTTATAACTATTTCTTTTGATCCTTTAAATTACTTTTAACTGTTCTTCATCTCTTACATGATTTATTTCCTCCTATTATGTTGTAGATTCTTTTCACAGGCTTTTTTGTTTATTTATTCGTTTCTTTCGGATTTTCTTAATCTGTGCACCCTGACCAGCTGTCCCTCCTTCTCCAGTGTTTGTTGGCTAATTACACTCTCCCTAAGCTTAAAATGCACTGTTGGATGGCATACATTTATATTACTGGCTCTGTGAAAACACTGAGATAATTTGAAAGGAGCTAGGGCCAGATGTAACCCCATCAGGAGAACCTCATTTCCAAGACGACTTTATTTGCCTCTGCTGCAGGTAAGTATTATAAACACTTCAACCACTCAGAGTGGGTGTCAAGGGGCAGGATGAGCCATATGAGGGAGACAGCATTGAAATATATCCTGGTGTTCAGTAAGGAGATTCCTGGGTCAGATTGGGACCACCTGCTCTTTGTTGAGAAAACACAACCAGATAACACCTGTGGTTAGGTATGGCCAAGCTTGCAGTGTGATAGTGAACAAACTACTCTAAATTCTGTTGATTGGCAGTGTACAAACTAGTAATAAAGGGAGTAGTTCCCGTTGGCCTGGGAGCAGGTTGCGGGCTGAGAGCCACTGAGCCTATGTCTCACGTTCACGAAGAAGCTCAAATTCAGATAATGTAACTGCAGCCGCAGAGCTGCACTGTCCTGCCAGACATGTTCTTCATCAAGTTTACTTTAGAAAGTGTAAAAACAAAGCAAAGCTACTTCATGGCTGTGCTATTCTCATTTGATACTATTTTACTTAAAAAAATTATATATAAAAAGGCTTGTCTACCCAGACTCCACAAAATTGTACCATAAAATTCAAAATTTGAAATAAAAGTAAAAATAAAGGAGTAAATAAACCATAAAAAGGCTTGTCTTAAAATGAATGTTATACAATGTTCCCTTAATTTCTTTTATCTCTTAATTTTTAAATTTTATGGTACAATTCCATAGGGTGTGGCATTTTCCTAATTTCCTTAATTTCTAAGAAGTTCTCAATAAAGTCTTCCATTGCTTTTCTCCCATGTCTAGCCTTTGCTATTTTAATCTTAAGACAGTATTGATTAAACTTAAGATGATATTGGTGGGAAGTTGGGGTGAGGGGTGGGAGTTGGGGGGGTGGGAACTGTGTGATGGTTCACTGGCTACATCGTCACCTTGCATGCACTGGGATCCCATGTAGGTGCTGATTCGTGTCCTGACTGCTCCACTTCCCATCCAGCTCCCTGCCTGTGGCCTGGGAAAGCAGTGGAGGACAGCCCAAAGCCTTGGGACCCTGCACCCGCGTGGGAGACCTGGAAGAAGCAGGTCTGACCTTTGTAGCCACATGGAGAATAAATTGCCTTTCCAATCATTTTTTTTCTTAAAAAAAAAAAAAAGAGATGGTATTGGTGGATTTCTCCTAGAATTTTTCATCTTCCGGAATATTTTAGAATTTTATCAGGTTGATGATATCCTTCAGTGTGGCCCATCAGCATCATGTCTTTCAGAAACTCCTTGACAATTGTGTTGTATTTTGTACAGAATTTGCTTGATTTTTATTTGCCAGTGTGGTCACTTCGTTGACTGAAGCCACCCCAGTGAGCAAGAGTCAGCAGGTGACACATATTTGGTTAGGGTTTTAGATGCTTTGAAGATGGTTGAAAAACTTTGGCAAAAGCTGCTCTAAACTAAGAAACTCAAAAGAGAGTTGCTTGTGTCAGTGTGTAAGGACACCAAGTAGGCATGGAGCGAGGCACGTCCTGAGGCAGCTGAGCACAGGCTCCCGTAAGACAACACTTCTGGTGCAGTATGTAGATTAACAGACTTTGGGCAAAAGATTGTTCAGTTCATTATTAAATGGCTAGTTGATAAGCAATGAAAGAAGATAAAAGGTAGTTACTTGCCCATCACATGGATTTCACAAGGTTGCCTTTTCATGCCTTTCATGTGTTATTAGAATAATAACAACTAATATTCAACTTTCATAATAATTCTATAGAGTAGCTAACTAATATTACTTTCCCCGGTGTACAGATGACTAACTAGCGAAGATTATGTAAGTCCTGCAATGTCACATTTACTAAGTCACAGTCAAGAATACAGCTGACCGCTGAGCTTGTGCGGTGTGCCATTGGCCAGCACGCCACGTTGGTTCTCCCCAAATTTCTTACATTCTACTCGTCTGTTAATCTAACATAGAAATTTTATAATTAGTTATAAACTAGGTGGCCTCCTGAGTTGCCCAGGAGCACATTAATTTTTGTTAAATACATCTATTGCTATTTAGCTTGGGGCAGATTGCCTTAGAAGGGGTATGTCAGAATCAGCCCTGTTACAAATCCGTATCTGCAATTTAGAGCATTCCCTTTCTTTTGAGTCAGAGTCATATTTGCAACTTCACTTCAACACACCTGTGCATGGTGGCCTGTTACAAGTGATATGCTGCCAAATGGATCCTAGCGGCTGGTATGCGTCAGCAGGTTTCGAGTTGGCCTGCTTGTCTCTGGAGGTGCTTCCTCAAGAACTCACGAGTCAGTAAACATTGTGTACCTTGTTAAGACATTTGACAGCTTCTCAAAATGCCCTTGAGAATGAAATGGAATATCCTGAACTACATAATAATGACAGGACAATTGACAGGTTAGCAAATTTGAATTGGCAGTATTTGGCAATGTGGGCATAAGTTTTCCAACTTCAGTAATAGTCCATTTTTAATGACTAGCATGAAAATATAAAATAGTATACCTATGTTATTACAAATAAAATGTAAGTAGGGTGTAGGATAAGTCTACTTCAGAAAAAAAAATCCAAATCTGGCAGGGTTACATTTAATACAATAAAATGTGAATTTCTATACTTGTGTATCAAAAATAGTTGTCAAAGGTACCTGGCAATGTGGCTTTCCAAGAGCACATGCGAAGAAGGTATTAGTTTAATTTACTACAAAGTTTACTTGAACTAGTTATGCAAAGCTGTAGTGCACATATACGTAACGAACTTTTGGGCTTCATTTATTAGAGACTTGACACCCAGCAGATGGGAAGCCCTCCATTTTTTTTTTTTTTTTTTTTTTTTGTGCTTCACAGTTTATGTTGAGAGAGAATCATCAAAGTGCTCCAATTAGGATGAACACAGTCAATTTGGAAAGTGTCTGAGATGGTGACTAGTTTATAGACATGGAACAATTATTTAAAATATCAATTCTGCTTTAATCTAAAGTTTCTGGATATTTTTGTAAAATAATTAAGGTTCTATTAGGCAAAAGGAGTAGTGTTTAGTTGGAGTGTCTCTGCAGGCAGACCAATGAAGATGCTCCATGACATCAGAATTTTGGCTGTTATGAACATTCTAGCGAGTAATTGAAGGAAATGAAACAGTAGAATGTGAAGTATGTTATCAGAGGGTACCTGAAAAAATTCTGTGTATAATCCTTCAGTTAGAGTGATCCATTTGGGAGGGAAAAAAACGTGCTTTTTGCTTTACGTGATGCTCAAGTTAGTGTCATTACATCAAAAAAAAATGCCATATGATTCTAAGTCACAATGTTTTATATTCTATATAAGTTTCCCCAGGGCTTCCAAAGAATGTGGAAAAAACCATCCTGGTTCTGGTGATGGACTGAAACATACATCATACTCCTTATATGAAGAATGTAAATGGAATTCCAAA